GGACAAGGTCAGAGCAGTCAGTTGTATTCCTTATTAGTGGCTTTGATAAGAGGCTTTGGGGAAAGAGGTTGAAACTAACAGCTATAATGAAGTTTTGGGTTCTCTAAAGATTTCATTTATCTGTGCTATTGGTCTCCCCATTAAATGCATGTCTATTCTGTGTACCTTTGCACATGGTTTGCATAACATGTAATATCTGTGACTGAAACCTTGCAAACTTCTTAAATTGTATAGAAAAGGCTGTGAAACTTACTGTTAGGGAACATAAAAATATAGAGAACAAAGATCATAACTCCAAATATTGAGTTATACAGAGTTGTGAAAAAAAAATAACACAGTAAAACAAAGTTAGTTACTAGAGTAGAAAAGATATAGTTTTAATATGTATTGATATATGTCTTTTTTGCCCTCCCTCAATTTAGTAAAGATGCACTAGGTGTTAAGAATATTCTTCTTATCATACAGTGTATTTTAATCTAGCATTTTAGAAAACGTTTTATAAATTCGTAGATAAAAGTCCTGTCAGAATGTGACTTTTCATTTTCAGATGTTGTGAACCAGAATTCTGCATGATTTTTATGGAAATGACTATACTTTTAAAATGTAGAACTTTTAATAAAACAAAACAAACTTAAAGCCCTCAAACCTTTTCTTGGTAGTCCTCATGCCCCCCGTGATTCTTAAGTATACATTAACTAGTTTCAGATGTGTTTTGTTCGCTGACTCAAAATCAGCCCTTTATTTTAAGAAAAGAAATTGTGTAATTAGTACTTAATTGCTTTGGATATTTTGGGTATTTAGAGAAGAGGGTAATTCAAAGGCCAGAGAAATTAAACCTTCAGAATGTTCTTTATGCATGTGTAATTTCTTTTTAAAAAATGCCCTCTAAAGACAGGCCTGACAACCTCAAAATAAATGAAGACCTGGGTTGTTTTTGAAAATTAACATCATCTTTGGATGTGGTTTTATTGAGTTATTTAAGATAAATTGGAGAGAGGACCATTGAAGTGCTAGAAAACAAGATACTGTCTAGTTCATCTCCTTTTCAGGCAGGTGTTGTCTAAATAGCTCGCAGATGGCAGTCTTCCTTTCTTACATTTCAGGATCTTCCAAGACAGAAATAAATCTTTCCCCACCTTAAAAATATTACATTTGATCAGATTTAAATATGTGCATAATTAGGAATGGTATGTTGTCTGCTGAGACCAACTGCAACTTGGTTGACATGGGCACTTACCCTGTATCTGCAGTGATTTGAGAGGTCTTGGTCTTGTTTGCTCATTTAACTTCTCTCTAGGCCAGTTGTATTGTGTGTAAATTGAAATGTTGGACTAGTAATCTCTACAATTTTACTAGTTCAGAAATGTTTCGGAGGCACCCGTTATCTAAAAATCTGTGTTTTGTGAATCTGAAGGTTAACAGGTCTGCTTTTAAGTGATAATATTCCCATATTAATTTTGATAATGAACACTTGAACTATAACATTAATGAACTTAATGGTTATGAAATATATTGGGTTTTTAAATATATACCTTAAACCAGAAGACCCTTACTTTGTATCTAGTACAGTCACTAAGACATATATGCAGGATTTGAAGATTGGTTTGATATTGATTCTCAACCATTTGGGGAAGTCATACTAAAAGTACTGTTTCATATTATTGCCATAACCTTTTTTTCATTCTAACTAATATTATTTTTACTTTGTTCTTAATCTTTATCACTTTTTTCTTGAAGAAAACATCTTATATTACTGTTGAAGAAACAGTTTATATTACTTAAACATCTAGTTTCCACTTAGAAAATTCAAAGAATCATAAGTAACTACTTGGCTCAAATATATGCTGTTTTATAAGAGCCTGCATGAAATGTGTGATTCTCAAGGAAAACATAAATTGTAAAACTGAGTATAAAAGATATATATCTCTCTCTCTCTCTCAACAGATCAATAGCCAAAGAAAAAAGAGTTGCCCACCCAACAATGGCACCAGCCACAGATTGGGTTTTGTGGGGGAATTCTACTAAAATAATAAGGAGTGGATAGGTCCAGTGTTCCTTAAAATACTTGAGGCCAGGCATGGTGGCTCACGCCTGTAATCCCACCACTTTGGGAGGCCGAGGCAGGCAGATTATTTGAGGTCAGGAATTTAAGACCAGCTTGGCCAACATGGAGGAACCTCATCTCTACTGAAAATACCACAATTAGCCAGGCATAGTAGCATGCACCTGTAATCCCAGCTACTTGGAAGGCTGAGGCAGAAGAATCACTTGAACCCAGGAGACGAAGGTTGCAGTGAGCCAAGATTGTGCCACTGTACTCCGGCATAGGTGACAGAGCAAGACTTCATTTCAAAAAAAAAAACAAAAAACAAAAACAAAAACAAAAAAAAAACTTGACGTCAAAGAAAAATTTTCCCATCAGTATTAAGGAAAGAGATGCTGTCTTTTTTACACAATTGAGATGAACCTCAGATGAACATGTAGCACAGACAGTTGGGACCCAGGAAGAAAGATAACAGTGAGAGTTATCCAATAAAACCTTGAACTTGGAGCCTAGTTGGTGCCTTTGTGCCTCGTTGATATGTAGGGAATTAAATTAAGAAAGGAAATTATTGTCTATCCAGATAGGATTTGTAAAGACATGGATACTGGTAAACATGCACTTGTATTTTACTCATTCATCTTTTGGGGGCATTAAGTGTCCTGGGGCCTAGAACAGATGAATAAGGCCACCTGTTTCAAAATGCTGCTTCCTGCCCTGGTACCATCATTTTGTGTGAACTTTGCCAAGTTGTTACCTCGTCCTTTCGTAGATTTAGGATGAAGGAAGCAAGCCAAAGGTTGAAACAGAGGAGCTACGGCAGTGAGAGTTTAGTAAATAAATTAAAGGAAGAAGATGCCCAATACATAGTATTTTAGATGTTTAGGATAACCTCTTTACTATTTAAAAAAAAAAATGGAAATCTGGTATCACCAATGGTGACACAGACTTCCAGATGCTATCCTTTGGCTACAATGATTATTGAATCAGCTTCATGTTGAGAGAGAAAGAGTGAGAGGGAGGGAGGGAGACAGGGGTGTGTATATGTGAGAGAGAGAAAGAGACAGAGCGAGCCAGTTGTAGTTTGTTGAAGTTCACCACAAAAAGATGGGAAGGATCCCTAGCCACACTTGATGTTTTGTGTTTCAGTTTTGGAGTTCGGGATTGTTAATTTTCATATTAAGTCAGTCATGCAGTTTAAATTGTAGATATCATGTTGTAATTTTGGTGCAGTGAACAGGAGTGCAGCATCTGTCTTTTAAAGGGATTTTTTGTGTGTGTGTGCATTTAGATTGCTTGGTGACCTTTGAAATTTTGTTTTGCACTATTATCAGAAACATAATCATTTTTCTTTCTGAAACAGATTTTAACATCTGCAAAGGTTGATGAAACTAGGAGAGTTTTAATGAAATCTTAATCTATCTTTTTTAATGTCACCATTGCTTTTAAAACTGTTCATCAGCTACCGGAAACATCAGCTCAAGGCACTGGAGTTGATTTTAATAAATGCCTTTTCTATTAAATATTCTCATTGTGGTCAGAGTATAGTTACAGAACAGAAACTTGTCCAGTCTTGTTCATCTACAGCTCACTTTCCAAATTCTCTTGTTTTTAAAGTCATATTATTTCAATCTGTATTTCGTTATCTCAATAGTTAACTTGAGATTTTTTATATTTCAAGGAGGGGAGGTTGTTCCGAATACTGGCACCAATCCTTCAAAATCTAGACAGTTTAAGGATATTGACTTTTAACAAAATTTAACTTAAATGTCTACTTTAAATATGTGTCTTGTCATTAAAAGGTTATTTACATTTAAAATGCTGACCTTTCAAGATGTGCACAAGAGTGTTCTAAAACAGAGTTTCTGAACATTGGCCATGAAACCACTGTCTTGGGCTGACAAATGGATTGGAAATAAGCTACCCAACACTGGGAATGGGCCATTAATTTTAATCAAAGGTGATGCAGGAAGGCGAATGGGATGCATGACAATGTCAACAGCCCAGTAGGTGTTAAGAGACCACACAGCCTTCCTTGTTACTTGGTCGGGCCATTAGTTGAGGTTGGGTGAAGACAGAAAGCCATGTCTGGAATTGAATGACCAGGTCACTCCAAAATCTAATGGAGAACTCCCCATTTCAGAAATCACATTGTAATGCCATTAGAAGTCAAGGACAGCATTTAGAAAATATTGGTGGATTTTTTTTTTTTTTTTTTTTTAAAACAATCACCTTTCTGGTTTTTCCCAACTTTGTCAAGCTTCCTGTTTTCCTGCCTTCTTTCCTTCTGAATAGATCATTGATATTTACAGGGGAACAAGAAATCGAACTGACTTAGGAAAAAAAATCTCAAAGCCTATTTGCTTTTCAGAATTACATATTGTTATAAAACTCAGGTAAATGCCAGAAACAATAGCATACCAAAGGAATTAAGCAGGATAACTAATTCTTTATGGCGATCTCATGGTCCTTGTCTCTTTCTTGTGTGTGGGAATAGTTTCAGTAGTTGAAACTAAACTTTTGTAATTGCTTTATTGAAAGCATTTTTTCATCATTGTAGAGGCCACTGTGCTTGGCCCTTGACTATAAATTGTCAATACTAGCTGATAACATTTGTAATTTTCACAGCAGTGAAAGCCTTTATTTTAAATCAGTGAGTGTATTACTTTATTTTGAGTACTTTCAATTACAAAAAAGGTAGTATATGACAGCTTGAATTCGTGATGTTTATAATAACAAAAAATGCAGAAAAAATAATGAAAGAAGCATATCTGAAGCATATTTACGCTTCAGGGTTGTTAAGAAAGTTCATTTATTCTGACACAGCACTGCATGCATAAGAAAGATCTGTATGACTACAGTAGTAGTTTTTATACATATTTAAGAAATAAAAACAAATATATTCCTATCTTGTTAATTGAATAGTGTTGTAAGTAAATAGCATTTGTTCTTCCTGTAGATGAAGATCAGCTCCGTGCAAAGGGTTATGACAAAACACCAGACTTTATTTTACAAGTACCAGTTGGTAAGTTCTTCAACTCTGTTATGCGTTTGTTTTTAGAGAAAAGGGATGTATTTTTTTAATGTCTTTATGTTAATATTAGCTTTATAATATTAAAAATGGGTGAATAATTAGAAACTATTATTTTTAAATGGCAGAAAATAATAGGTTCAGAAGAAATCTGTCTTAAAATCTTTTGCATATATTATAAACATGTTTTCTAAAGATATTTTGGTTGTCATTTTCAACTTATTTCTCTAAATTTCCAATTCCTTAAACATAGATCTGTTGAAAAACCAGACTCATTTTGGTCTGCTTGGCATGTCATTTGTCGAGTTATACAGGCAGTCTGAGAACTAGGAAAGGGAGTTTTGAAGAATATAATGAAAATCAAAGGAATATGATTGTCACATAAATGTTCTTTGTAATGAACATATACAGTGTGTTGTTTTGTAATTACATTTATAAATGATGGTAAGAGCTAAGCCTGTGCTCATTAATGTGAAGCTTAGAGAGGCCTGTGCAGAGTTGAGAATTTTCAATCTTCCCTTCCCTTCTCCGTATATTAGTAATGCTTTGTCCCTTAGCTGTAGAAGGGCACATAATTCACTGGATTGAAAGCAAAGCCTCATTTGGTGATGAATGTAGCCACCACGCCTACCTGCATGACCAGTTCTGGAGCTACTGGAATAGGTAAGGTCTCATTATTTTTCTTTTAAGATAAACGATACTCAGCTGAAATCTCATTAGAAAAAAATATTTTGTTTAGCTGGTAAAAATGCTAGTAGCCTTTGTTTCTAGTAAATACAGAGTTTTGATTAATGTATTCATTTCAGATAATTTAAACCTCTCCGCTTTCATAATGTTGCTTCATTTTTTAAAACTAAAAATCTCTGCATAAGGTCAAAATTAGTATATATTCCATTTTTCATTCATTTTACAATAATATTGGTGTCACTTAAAATGCAGATAATAAGATGTGGTATATATTACAATATTGACACTGAACTTTTATCCTTTTGATGTGAAATTTATGCTTACTGTCAGACCTTAAAATAATTTATCCTCAGCTCTCTGAGAAAAGTATCCAAACGATATGAAAGATGGAAATGATATACCTTCCAAGAATAGAGAGTAGTTTACCTACCAACTCATATTAACATTCCCGAAGACACGGAAATCTCAGCATTAAGAAAGGAGTGGGGAGGTCTTATTTTACTGATTATCTACCTTATGCCCGGGAAGTTACTTTTATCCCCATTTTACAGATAACTAAGCTGATACTCAGAGAAAATGATGTGCTATATAGTGCTAGTTATCATGGATCTGCTTTTATCTCTGACTCCCAAATCTGTGTGATTTCTAGCACAACCCTATTGTCATTTACAATGCAACCATCCAAACTTTGGCTTTTTCTATTATTGCAGTCCCAAGTGTTCACACTACACATTTTTTTTCCCCCTTAGAACAGGAATGCCGGCCAACAGTAAGAATACAATAATAAAATGACATTGACTCAGATCCTTAAGGAATGAGACAGTAGCATCCGTGGGTAATAGCCTTGTCCTAGGGTAAAAATAGTGATCAGCTACAGAATTTGGCATTATATTGTTACTCAGTTTTACAAAAGGCCAGTGGACCTCGCCTGTGGCAGCTGTGCTAACCTAAGCCCACTTTTTGCCATGGTAACAATGATCATGGCAAAATGCTGAATGTAATGGCTTTCTTGATTTTCTTGTGTAATTGTGCGTGGCATCCGAGCTTTACTTTACAGGGATGGAGGAGGAAAGTGCAAAATGTTTTAGAAATCAATGCTGGTTCAGCGTTTCCTGTCTTTTATTCAGCCATTATTCAAATTAGCAGTAATGTGGCAAATTGAATTTTAGATTTTTAGCAATTTTATGATGAGTTTGAAATAGTAAAGAAAGCATCATTTTTGGTAGTGCAGGGAAAGCAATGACAAGAAAATCAAATTGCATAAGTTTAGGTTGCTAAAGTATTAAAAAGAGAAAACTGATAAGCTCAATCAGTAGGCAGGTAGACTGTTTCCCCAGCTTTGGTACTGGTCATTTCTTTTCTAAGGAACAATTGCAAACTAAATCCCAAATACTAGAGCTTACTTCAAAATTCCAAATTATTATCTTTATTCTAAAGCAACTCAATTATTTATTGAGTACCTACTGTGTATTTAACATTCACCATTTAGAGGCTGATTAAATAATCTAGTCACCTGGATGATAGATTTACGGATTATTGACATGCCTGGAGGATGTCTGAGTGATAGATAATTTAATACAATTTCCTTTGGATTTTATATTACTTTGTTGCATTCTACTTTTTCCCTTCTGGTGATGTTTTACTTAGACTACTATTGATTTACATTCCCTGAGTACATTGTTTGAATATATACTGGCTAAGTGAGCATAATTCATTTTGGGCACGATGTGTGTGATATGGGAATGCTAGCCTTGGTTTTAAATGGTCCAGATCATTTAAGGAGTAAATGTCACAAAAGTCACTGATGTTACCAAATGTCTGCAGAGAGGCCAAGAAATGCAAGTTCAAAAAGGAACATTTAGTGCCCAGGTTTAAAATGGAACTTTGGGGCATTTACTTGTATATAAAATTTGTAATATATGATAATGATATAAGCTTACTGGTGATGGAGTATTTTGACAGAAGGAGAACTTACCCCATTTGTGAATGTATGGGATCCTCCTCTTCTCGTATTTTGCCTCAACACAACTCATATACGTGAGCAGTTGCTAAAGTTCTTCAGCATATAACTATAGCAGATTCTGAAGTTCTTTAGAATTGGAAGAAATTCTCTCTCACCTGTAGGTAGCCTTTCAAGGAGGCTATTGGTTAGAATTTGGGCTTTTTGCTTTATTGAAGTGATAAGCGGCTAGTTTATATAAAAACTAATATTACCTAATTGTCACACTATTTTCAGATTAAAGATTGGATTTTACAATAAGACTGTTCAATTACTTTTTATAGACTAACGCTTTTTTTTTTTTTTTGAGACGGAGACTTACCCTGTCACCCAGGCTGGAGTGCAGTGGCGCGATCTCAGCTCACTGAAATCTTCACCTCCCGGGTTCAAGCGATTCTCCTGCCTCAGCTTCTCAAGTAGCTGGGATTACAGGTGCCCGCCACCACGCCCAGCTAATTTTTGTGTTTTTAGTAGAGATGGGGTTTCAGCATGTTGGCCAGGCTGGTCTCGAACTCCTGACCTCATGATCCACCTGCCTCGGCCTCCCAAAGTGCTGGGATCACAGGCGTGAGCCACCGCGCCCGGCCTAGACTAATGCTTTTGTGTAAATCCATTTCCCATGCAAATAACTACAGAGCCACCAATTTTTAGATTAACATTTCTGTAAGAGTTTTCTTTTGTAGTAAATTGATATTCTTACTCAGCTTAACTAACGTTGAAAACATTTAAATTTTACAATGTAGTCATCTTCCCCAAAGTCAGAGCTATTGAGTAAAGAACATAAGCAGCCATTCCTACAAGCACATCCCAATCCCAAGTCCCAGGTATGAACCTTGGTTAAACAACTACTCAAAACTCTCTACTTCTACAGAGTTAAAGCAGACAAAGAATGCCTCTGAGAAGCATTTGGACCATAAATATAGGCCCAAATTCTATAAGGCTACCAGAAAATACATTTACTTATGAAATCAACACACAAAAAGTCTTCTTATCCTATTTCTCTAATCAAAAGGTGAGTTCTTTGACAATTTGGCCTGTATTACTAAGTATACTTTTATACTGAGAGGATGACTTGTAAAGAGAGAAACCAATAGTACCAGTCTAAGATCAGGTGACATATATGTTCTCTAACATGTGGCCTTTCAAAGAGGCAGGGACAGACACCTTGTCCTCACTTTTGGTGGGTCAGTTTGAATGAAAATATTGAGTAACCTTAATGATAGAGAAAGGGCCATATGCTATAAGGCACATGAACAATTACCAACAACCACTGATCAAGAACATGGAAATTGCAACCGCAAGTTTCAACCCCTCCATCTGCCATTCCAGTCACATTCTGGCACGCTCTCATTAGAGACATCTCTTTACAACCAAAGTGCACTTTGTTGATATACCTCTCTGCCTCTCTCAAAGAAAATCTAACCTTCTTGGCTGGAACAAATGGGGCAAAATTTGGTTTTTCAATTTAGTGATCCTTGAAGTAATGGGAGGAATATTGGGTTTGAATCCAGAGTATGCCACTTTCTGGTCCCATGACTGGGAACAATTTACTGTATTTTCTCCTCAATAAAATGGACTGAATAAAACTTTTTTTGCCCTCTTACTCTGAAGATCAGTTATTTAATATATACAAAGCACTTTCACAGTGCCTGGCAGTCAAAAAAATATTAGTTCCCCTCTGTCTCTTTTTCTGTATGCCACTGATGAAGTTTAGAGGTCTTCCGATTAGACATTTTTAATTGCCTTCTTTGCCACATAAACTAGTCAGCTAATTTCAGCACTCAGCTTGGCTGACATCTCTTTGAGAAACCTTCCTGCATTCCAGGATTGGGTTTGGTGCACCTCCTGTGTTTTGCTAATAATTTCATAACGTCTATCAAACATTGTCATTGCTTGCTTATTTGTCAACCTCCTCCAATTAATATTGAGTTCCATCTTATCTACTGGTTTTATCCATCTTTGGTTGCCCAGAATCTGGCACATGGTAGGTGATAGTAGATGTTTATTGATTGTATTTACTGATGTCTGACGACAATAATGGTTTGAATCAGCCTTTGAGGAATTTGTCAGGCATTGTGACATTAAGCCATGATACAATCAAATTTTTTTCTTTGAGAATTCAACTCGGAGGATAGTGAGGAAAATGCCTAATTTTTCTGAAAAACTTTTACGGACTTTTCAAATGTATAGGCTTTTGCAGTCCTGTTTCATGAAATAGAGCATAAATGTATTTAACATAAGGAATTTTAAAAATAGAAAATAACTGAGAACTAAATGACAAATTCACTTTATAAAGGTTTTTAGATAAATATTTATAATCTTATGTTGGTCGGTTGCTTTCCCAAAACTTCAGAGAGTTTTGACATAGAATACCTTGAGAATTCTAAGCAGAGGATAATCTCTAGTCTCTTTAAGGGATACATGAAACTGGGCCTGGAGCAAGAGTACAAATGGAGCCTTATATACTATGTGTCTAAATATGTAAAGTTACATATTAAGTTAACAGACCTTAAATATATTCCATTCTGCGTGAAGAGCTGAAAGTTCAGATTTGCATAAGAATTCCTAGATTCCTTGGATTTGCAGGCTACGTGTGTCAGTGCAGGGAGCGGTGGTCCCACTGCACAGCCTGCCTTCCTTTTCTTCCCACCCTCAGCTCCATCCTACACCTGGAAAGGTGTCAAGCACACGCCAGGTCTGCGTATCCAAGCTCCATGTACATTCCCATAAGCTACGGCTCTCAGGCCAGAGTTGCACACTCTGGTAGTCTGCCCTCTTATCAGGTGAATGAACCTGAGAGAAAGGGCCATCCAGGCCCTGGGAGTGGTCTCGGGGCTATAAGATCAGGAA